TTTTGCACATGGCCAACACATTCTAATTTTTCAACTTCTGTGTCGCCATATACTTTTGCTTCTTTTATAGTAAGAAATCCTTTGAGTCCCCATCACCAAGATACTGCGTATAACATGCTTTTCGTGATGTTTCAGATCGCTGAAATATACTTAATACCCCCGACATTCCATTCTCCCACTGAATCCTTCGTAATTTTTAGCACAATTTTCACATGGTTTTTTTTACCCTTACATGAAGAACAATATTTTGTGAGAGCTTCAAAGTCGATAACCTTTCCGTTCTCAACAGACGTAGCACATACAACTCCGTTCAATGAAGAATAGCCTCTTTTATGCCATGTGCCATCCACAGCCACAGCTATATTTAAATTATTATCATTAGCTATGACTGCTTCGTGAACAGCTGCATTCATCGAGTCTTCACTAATTGTTTTTAAAACATTTAAAAACAAAGAATTATGGCGTTCAAACTTTGCAGGTGGTGGAGGCAAATTCATGAGCCCACAGAATATTCGAGCAGCAGCTCCACCTTTTCAATAGCTCTCATTCCATATGTCAATCTTAGGTTAACATCATAACATTTATTTGATATTTTTGATGACATTGTACTCATCGATTATCCACAGTTGTGACAAATTATTTCCAAACTCACAGCTAAACCTCTACGACTTTTTAAATCTTCTCTCAGCTCAATTTTCTCTGAAGAACAGCAATATTTACAAAATAAGAGATTTTTCATAAGGGAAGATAATAAATCCAGTTCAACGATTATGTTTACATTTTGAGAATCTTGTTCTTTTAGTAAATCCGGTATTTTAATTTTTTTCTCTAGAAGCACTTTCCACGGAATTCAAAAGCAATTCTTCAGTCGATTTAGACTTTTTATGTTGATTGCTACTATACTTCCTTCTGCCAAATTTTTTTATTCTTGGCATAATTACTCGTTTAAAAAAAAAAGTTAAGATACTTTTAAAATCTTATGAATATTAATATTTATAAGTAAAAAATAAATATTTCTTACGAAAATTAATGTAAAATTAAGTAGTTGTATGCCACAAGAAACTTCGGAATAGACGAACTCGGTTCAAAACATTGCCATAAACCAAAATTTAAAGTAAGAAATTTTGTCACACAGCTTGGAACAATAGCTCACGCACAAGCGTGGCTAAAAAAGCGGGGTTAACATTCAAACGAAAAAACAATCAAAAGTTAATATAGATAAAACACAGGGGAAACTACATATTTAAAGTTCAAAGGGGCGTGTCAAAAGGGGCGTGGTCATTTATTTACATTTTTATTTTTCATATTTTAGGGCTATTTTATCAACAAACATAAGTATTATACATTTTTAGATTCAGAAAAATTAAGCACTATTTTTTAGAACTAAAATTGAAAAATCGATTATTTGAAAGTATATGATGTCCTTGTTCCCTTAACGGCTATAGAATGTTCTCATGGTTTGGAATGCAACATAATGTATGATCGTTTGACTATGAAAAAATGTGCGCACGTTGGGTCCTCCGGCCACTGACCGAAAAACACAAAAAAGAATCGAATGGGCATTTTTTTTAAATCTGCTTGATCCACAGAAACAACGACTTGGAGACAATTCGAAGATGATGACGACGTTCAACATTAAATCATCTTTTGGGACTTCTTAATGACTTGTCCTCTTATATTGGATTAGGAACAGTACAGATATTTTCTATACTCATCGGGAATATGAAAATGATTCACGTAATTGTATTTGTTCCACAATTATGATTATATACAATTCACAATTTAGGAAAAAGATTTTCAAGGATAAAGCTACGGGTTCAATATATGCATTAGAGATACAAATAATGAATGAATTTGAATGTTAAATTCATGTTATATAGTTTTTTAACATTAGCTAGATCAGTGCTTCTCAAACTTTCAATACTTGCTACTCAATTTTCAGTCATAATTTTCATCGGGCCATAAATAACATCCCCCTCCCATAAAAAACAATGTATTGAAATCAATAATAATATACTTTGACACTAAATCAACAATACGATTTTAATTACAAACCGTACGTATTATCAAGATAAGTATTATATATTGTATAAAATTTCATATACAGTAGAACGTCGTTTATCCGAACGTTTATTATTTGAAATGTCAAGTATTCAGACCAGCCTTGTTTTGCCAACTACATGTGCTGTATGTGAATACATTTTCAAACAGTTGCTTCGCGTGAGGCCAAAAGTGATGGGAAAACCCAAGGTCAGGGATATTTGGGGAATTTCAGTTGTGTGTGATTTGGTAAACATCTGCGCGGAATATTAGGTCAGTTTGTTTTCAAATGAGGGGTGTATACGTGCTCTTTTGTTGAGTTGTGGACTGATATGGCTTCGAATTCAAAACGGAAGGGCTACGTGTTGAACATAGAGACAAAACTTAAAACGCAATGAAGAAGATATTGAAACCTGGATGGCATGCGATGCAGAAGACTGTGTATTTCAGATGCTAAATGATGACGAGATTGTGACTTCCGTGCAAGAAGAATCCGACTGTGTCTACCATGAAACGTATGAAGACGAGGACAACAACAACAACGAAAATAGCAAGGGTCCATCAAATGCTGTCGCGTTTTTGCGTCAGAGACAGCTATGGAGTGGTACAAACAACAATCAGAGTGCTGCCTACTCAACTACTGCTGCTCAAGAGAATCAGAAACCTGGCAGCTAAAAAAAAAACAAAACAAAAAAAAAAAAAACGAATGTGTAAAATGGTACAGCGAAAAATAAGTGATTATTTTCCACAATAAAGATAACATTTCGACATTTTGTACCTATTTTGGTTTTTCTTCAAGCACGTTTCCCGTATGTGATGATTTTCAATATTCGTATAGTGTCCGGTCCCATATACTACATGTATTGCATTAGGTTTTCGGTTATCCGAACAATCACGTATCCGAGCGGTGTTAGGTCCCAATTGATTCGGAAAACTACGTTCTACCGTAAAACGAACCGATGGCTTCAATGGTAATTATTAAACTTTTTATTAATTTAGTATTGATAAAATAATTATCAAATACATTTAAACTTGTCCTTAATTTAGTATTTATAAATTAATTATCGAATACATTGCACGGTGCTGATACATTTAGAAGTATAAATATGTATTTTATATTTTATTATGTCAGAATGTATTTTGTTTTGTTTCCTTTCTGTAAATTAATAACTTTTCAAAAATAATCTTTTGTCTTCGACCTTTTGATATGCTTGCGCTCCCCACGCAAGGTTATCAATACTCTAGAGGGGCACGCCCCACAGTTTGAGAAACGCTGAGCTAGATAATGGGCCGAAAGAGTAAAAAGTAGTTCTATTCATGAAGAAAAGTATGTTTGAGGTCCCATATATATATATATATATATATATATATATATATATATATATATATATATATGTGTGTACGCTAGCAGACATTAGGTTATAAATTATTTTTAAGAATTTGTTAAAAAGAAATTTTTTAGGGAGGACTTTACTTATTGCCTTAACTTACCATTATTTTAGTAGTACATAAATTGAATTTATATTATTTTAAAATTAGAAAAATACCTTATTCTGGGGATTTATTCGTAATTATTTCATTTATAAGCCTTTTATACTTCTCAAATTCTGTAAGAATTTAAATATACATAATTCTCTCTATAAGCTAATTAAAAGGACTGTACTGTCAATTTAAAAATAATATAAATTTTTCATTAAATTTTTGTATAAAGGATTTTAATTATTTTAATGACTTCAAACATAAATTTGGGATAATTTATATATTATCTTATATATTTATATATATTCTAAGGCTGAAATTTGTTTTTAAATTTTTTCTCAAATGTTTCATTTAAAACTTAATTTTTATCCAAATATTTTTTATTAAAATAATAATACATATAATGATCACAGAATGGTTAAGAAGATAATAATGAATTCTGGTACACTCCAATTAACTTTCTTTTTTCCCATTATAATTTCTTTTGAAGAAGAAAAAGATACTATTGAATATGCAAAGGCATTTTTCAAAACATTTTTCTTTTAAATTTATTTAGAGCAAAAGTTCTAGCCTTTTTAAGCCGACATGGTACCCAAAAAATCATCAAACTATCGATATTTTTATTGGTTTATATACCTCGAATCATTATAATCATGCCTGCAAAATTTCAATGCTTTACCTATATTTTTATTAAGTTATGGAACAATTTTTGTTGCTACAGAGCAGACTAAACAAAACTGTCATGCCCATTTTTCAGATCAACGGCTAGAAAAGTGCCTGATAAGAAATGAATTAATTATTTTTCTACCCCACGCAAATGAAACTAACATAAGTAGAATTATAAATGCAGTAACAAATCATTTGAAGGAAAAATTGTGCAATTCATGCAAAAATTCTAGTTTGTCTATTGTTTATTGAAAAGCAAATGGATTTGGTCAAGAATTAAAAGTTGGGCGTGCTTTTATGTGAAATTATTATGAAGGAAATTAAAACTTCAAAACGAATTCTCTCAAAGCACAAATACTAAATCTCTCATTTAGATTGCTCTGATAATTAAAAATTTAGTTGTAGAGAATAGCAAAACTCTCCTGATTTTACAAGCATTTATTTAACTTGCAATGTAAAATGTTCGGGTGGAATCCTGCAACTCAATTTTGAAGCTGACGTCTTCAACCGATTGAGCTAAAATTTGTATGAACGTTAAGGTTGGATGACAATGCATGTTTTGACCATTTATATTCCAATATCGCAATTAGTTAAAAAGTAATTAATTACAGTAATTTGCTCGGGTGGAATCTTTCGACTCAATTTTGAAGCTGATGTCTTCAACCGATTGAGCTGAAATTTTGTATACACGTTTAGTTTGGATGCCAATGCATGTTTTGACGATTTATATTCCGATATCGACCTAGTTACTGTACCTATCTTATTTAAGTGTTAAGGCGAACAAGTTTACAATAACACAGGTGTCGACCAAAAGCGTAGCTCAGATGGTAGAGCACTTGCTTAGCATGCGGGAGGTTCGGGGATCGATATCCCGTACCTCAAATTGTTACTTTTTCGCATTAAAAATTTTCGAAATTCATTTAATTTGGTACAATGAGATATATTTTACAATATTTCCACTCTGCATACGTACAAAGAATGTTATATTTTTACTGTTCTATAGGGAACACTAAGGGAAAGGTAGATCTATAAAACTATTTACTTTGAAACATTCTAAGATATCTATATACTCGACTCTAGTTACTCCCATAGCACTTATAATTGACCTAGTCACTGTAACGATCTTGTGCAGGTGTTAAGGTGAGCATGTTTACAATATAACACAGATGTCGACCAGGAGCGTAGCTGAGATGGGAGAGCGCTCGCTTAGCATGGATTGATACCTTTCGCCTGCAATTACAATTTTTTCGCTTCTTGTAAAATATTTTTGTTGTACTACGAAATATTTTATAATACTTCTACTCTGTACACGTACAAAGTATGTTATATATTTACAAGCTTTAATTTAACTTGCAATGTAAATTCGATGTCTTCAACCGATTGAGCTGAAATTTTGTATACATGTTTAGTTTAGTTGACAATGCATAATTTGACCATTTATATTCCGATATCGCATTTAGTTAAAAAGGCTAGCCGCGTGGCCCAGCATTGCTCGAGCTTTCTCTACTTTTATAAATTTTCCCTTTTCTTCACAAAATCAGCACTTCTCTCTCTAATAATCTTTTTCAAAATGAATTCTAACCCTCCTCCCCCTCCTCTACCAGACAGGTTTACTTCCCCTTCTCGGCATTCTACGAACATTTTTAAATGCATAACATATTGTCACGGAAATTCCCCTTCCCCTGTCGCTATCAGAGCTCGTGAGAAAGTGAACACTCAACGATACATGAACAGCTTTGTAGGTGCAGCATTCTAGTGGCACAATGAATTATTGTACAAAAAAATTCGTAAAAAGAGTTTTCGACATTTTATTTTTTAAATCACTGACTGTTAAAAGCAAAGTATGAGTTTTTAAAAATAAATTTCATATAAACACATCGATAGTGATTCATTTTACAAAAAGTCATATGGAAAGTATCGTTGTTTTGAAAAAAAGAAAAGAAAAACATATTATATGGTCACGAAATAAGTCTTCTTTCCAATTACAAAATTGCTGGCAAAGTTATTACATGCGCGAATAAAATTTTGAGTATTTTTTTTAAACAATCATAAAAACTAAGCGATTGTGTTGTTTATAACCAGGGGACAAAAGTTAATAATTCAGCGTTCTAAGCGTTCAATCCACGAAATCTTCGGAAAAAAGAAAGAAAAGTCCTGTAAAAAATAAAAAGAAAGAGATATTCAATTTCGCATAGCGTTATTTGTTAAAATTTAAACTGTGGGGGCTTCATTTTTAATTTAATGCCTTCGAACTTCATATATCGATTGCACAAAAACAACTGTAATTTTTAAATAAAAAAATATAACAAATGTAATGATTTAATGTTTCTCGCAAAAGGGGGATAAAAAACGAAAAACACAATTTTTTTAAACTGTAATTTTTAAACAATATTTTTAAACTTTGTGCATGTTACGGATAATATCGTTCTACAAACGGAAAAAAATATCATGAGATTATTTTATAATTAAAGAAATTATTATTTATTTAAATAAAATTTTGAGTATTTTTTAAAAATCGTAAAAAAAAAAATGTCATTTTATTTTTTAAATGACTGATTCTGAAAGGGAAAATCATGAATTTTCTTAGTGTAAAATATCATTTCATTAAATTAAAAGAAAATTCAATCGAAGTGATTTAGAAATCATTTTCATTAAAACGTATCAATTTTGACTCATTTTAGAAAAAATCGTAAAAAAAAAAGAAAATATCATTATTTTGTAAAATAAATTATACCGTATCCTGGCGAAGTAAATGATCTTTCCGATTCTGTAATTTTTTTTTTGTTTGAGTCTCTTAAAAAAATAGATCGTTTCTTAAAAACGTCAGGGATATAAAAAAAGTTCGGGACATTGGAACTTCGGTACCTGGCGGGAAAAAAATGGCATTAATTATGCGTTTTAAGGTTTTATTTATGATATTTTTAACTAATCGCACTATTGAAATATAAGTGTTCAAAACGGATTCCTCGGTTCAGTTCCATTCTTTTGGTACCTTTGGCGAGTTTCTGCATCGTGCGGCTTGTGAGAAGATACACCTAGTCGTATAGTTGTATACGTTTATTTACCTTCGAGTTTTAATAGTGCAGATATTAATTAAAGTAATTTTTTCGGGTGGAATCTTGCAACTCAATTTCGAAGCTGATGTTTTCAAAAAATTGAGCTGAAAATTTTTATATGTTTAGTTTAGATGACAATGCATGTTTTGATGATTTATATTCTGATATAACAATTAGTTGAAAAGATATTAATTGAAAACCTTCTACCCCTGTTAGCTTTCTATTCTGCCCGGCAGCTTATCGGATAGAGCTGAAAGAAATTCCGATTTTCTCTCTCTCTCTCTCTTCGACCTTTCTTAAAAAAACCATCTTATTCTTTTTCTAAAACTGATACAAAAAATAATAGCCTAATGGGAAAGATCATTTTTTTCACTACGATACGGTATAATTTGTTAAAAAAAATAATGATATTTCTATTTTTTAAAATTTTTTCTTAAATGAGTCAAAATCGTTGCGTTTTCATGAAAATGATTTCTAAATCGTTCCGTATGATTTTTTTTTCGTGTTAATGAATCGATATTCGGCACTAAGAAAGTTCAGGCGTTTTCTTTTAGAATCAGTCATTTAAAAAATAATAGGCCAAAAACTTTTTCAACGATTTGTCAAAAAATACTCAAATTTTGAAAACAACTTTTAAAAACTTCGTCATTTTTAAATATATTCGCACGGAAATATTTTCTCGTTTGTAGAATAAATAGTATTATCCAAATTTTGCACAAAAATTGAAAAAATTTGTATAAAATTACGGATTTACAAAAAAAAATGTGTTTTTCGATTTTAATTCAGTGTTGTAGTAAAAGCAAAAATTATTAAAAAAAAAGAGAATGAGTTTAAATATTTTTTAACTAATTTTTCTTCGTCCAATGTTGTTTTGATCTCTCTCTCTCTCTCTCTCTCTCTCTAACAGTGTTTATCCCCCCCTTCCCATTGTCCTTTTGTTGCGGCTCGAGTGACATATCTATCACATGTATGTAGTCTTGCGGAAAAAAATGTTGAGTACCTCTTAGCTGGACTGTTCAAAATTAACCGGCAAACGACCTTTCAACAATGATGCGTTGAATGAGATTAAAAGACTGAGAAACCTCTGTCTAGTGATAACTAAAAAGTAAAAAATAAATTAAAAGTAAAAATACTTTTTTAAAAACAAGCTTTTATTTAAATGCTCTAAAGGGAATAAAATAAACTTTTCTTTTAAAACTTTTTTTGCTATCAACTCATAAAGCCGTTATACAATTTATGATATAAAAGCTTCTCACGAGATTTACCTGTGTACATATACAAGCAAATTAAATAACTTGATCTGATTGATTTTAATTTTTAAAATTTTCAGACTAAGTAAATATGAGTACTTAAATCTCGCGACAAGCTTTTATATCATAAATTGTATAACGACTTTATAAGTTGATAGCAAAAGAAGTTTTAAAAGAAAGAGTTTATTTTATTCCTTTTAGAGCATTTAAATAAAAGCTTGTTTTTAAAAAAGTTTTTTTACTTTTAATTTATTATATACTTGTCTCCGGTGATATATATATATATATCCCATGTATGTGAAATTCACCAAAACTATTATTAAAATATTTTTAGATATTTATTTAAGCAAATGTACAGATGCCATACTTTGATTTATTTTACCTATAAATAGTTGTGTGATTTTTCTTTCATTTATATTCAATAGTATGACATGTCCCCCATGTCGTGTCTTCATTGCGTTGAAATAAAGAAGCCTTTTCATTACTGGAACAAATATTATTTAATATTCTTACGTTCCACAACACAAGGGGTCACTTAAATAAAACAACACACATCCATTATAGTTACAGAAAATAGCTTAAGGACTAAAAGGGGGGAAACAGGCTTTCCCTGATTCCACGTGTACACCTCTTTGCCCCGGTAGTGATCCAGGGTCGAAGAGCGGGGGGAACGAGTTCCCGTTTCTCTAAAGAACAGGTGGTGCCCCCTGGCTGCCACTAATCATCAAGGGAAGGCAGGGTTTAAATGTAGTTTTTACATTCTCCCCCTACACCACCGAAGACCGTCTCGGCGAGGGGGTGTACTAGCAGACATTATGGCATTCTCTCCGGCAGTCCCTCTAGGAATCAATGACTGTTTGCGTGGTCTTCCTCTTTTCTTGAGAGGTACTACAGGAGACTGGGTCTCTGTGCCATTCAGAAAGGGTGTTAAAGCTGATGTATGGTAGACACCTAAGGGTTCGTCAGGTTTGTCACAACTGGCTACTACAAAGGTAGAGGGAGATCTCTGGGATAACACAATGTACGGTCCGTCTCTCCTAGGCATGAATTTTGCACTCCTGTTCTGACTCGCTTTACTTAATGGGTAAAGTTTTACCCATACCAGATCATTAACTTTATAGTTAGGACTTGGTCTACGTGATTTATCTGCATATGTTTTTTGACGATCTTGAATCATCTCAATGTTTTCTTTAATTTGTGACATGTATCCTTCAAAGCGTTTTAAATACGGTGTAAATTCAGGCACAAAATTATCGTTATGGATGACAGAGCGTAGATCAGCATTTACTTGGTCAAAAGTTCGCAGTTCTATTGCGAAGGTTAGGTATGCTGCCATGTGATCTGTTGACTCGCATTTTGAAGTATTCAGTGCAAACCTAATAGCTGGTAGCTTTTCAATGCGTAATGTAAGGTTGTTACCTACCATCATTGCCAAACGATGTTTCAAATCCCTATTTTTCCTTTCGACTGGATTTGCCTGTGGGTGATATACGGGAATGAGACTTTGATTGATATCCAAGACAAAACATAACTGTTGCATCACCGCACTCACGAATTGAGTCCCATTGTCACTTA